GAGAAGAAGCAGTCGGGAGTCAGAGAGGATGTCAGGGTGTGTGTGTGCCTCTGCCTGAGCTGTGAGCAAACCACAGCAGCCCCAGAAGAAAATCTTTTAGATAATTTGCAATAAACTGCCTTGAGACCGAACAACAAGAGGCTGCTGAGTTTTCTTTGGAAGCACGGGTTGGAGGAGAGACTTTTCCACCACACGGAGCTACCCCTGACCCAGGGTGAGCTCTGGCACTCCACTCTTGAGGGCCCTGTCGAGGGCTGCACCATCCTCATGGCACAACAGTTTTTCCTTGCATCTTTTCTGGATTTCTCTTTTTGTAACTCATGGCCATTGACTCTTGCCCTTCCCAGTGCAAATCTCTGAGGAGAGTCTTGTTCCAAGGCAAGAACAATACCAAAAATACAGGAGAACAAGACCTGAGGGTGTCTTTGACTCTGGGGGTCAGTTAAAGAAGCCCTATTCTGTAGGGTCAGTGTTAGGTCAAAGTACTTCAAGATATTTGCCATAAATAAGACACAGGAAGGGCAATCCTGGAAAAGTCATCCAGGATCTGGAAGAGAAAAGGGGCCAGCTTGGAAATAAGAAGCAGAATTTGGAGGTGGGATCGTACCTCATGGGCACAAAGGTCCCTTAGCAGCTGGACCTTGTACCAAAGAGATTCAGGATTGAAAATAAAGCCTTGGAGAAATGGGATGACTGCCCTGTGGAGAAGGCTGGTGTGGGGTGGGATATTACAGGGTTAAAGAGAAAAAAATGGGAATTGCGGGAAGGTGCCTTTGGGAAAGGAGAACATCATCTCCAGCACTCTGAGTGCTGAGAGGAGGCTGGGAAGAGCACGGACAGAGGACATGGAGGAGTGGATGGAGCTGGGCACCAGCCAGGGAATGAATTAGCGGTGAGTACACCACTGTGCAGAGCCCTGGACTGCTGGGCACCACCTCCAAGGACAGCAACGGGCACGGAGGGAGCCGGGAGCTGGCAGTGTCCACAAGATGTGATCCGAGCTGCAGTTTGGCCTGGGGAGGTCCAGCAGGTCTCCTTGCTTCTCCAGCTGCCCAGAAAGCCCCAGCTCACCTCCCTGCTGAGGCTCCTGCCCATGGTGGTGGAAAAATCCACATGACAGGACAGAGGGAATTGTTTCCCGCTGCCAGAGGGCAGAGATGGATGGGATATTGGGAAGGAATTGTTCCCTGTGAGCGTGGTGAGGCCCTGGCACAGGGTGCCCAGAGCAGCTGTGGCTGCCCCTGGATCCCTGGAAGTGTCCAAGGCCAGGCTGGATGGGACTTGGAGCAGACTGAGACAGTGGAAGGAGTCTCTGCCATGGCAGATGGGGGAATGAGATGATCTTTGAGGTCACTTCCAATCCAAACCATTCCATGATTCCATGCCCACTTTGGCTCAGCATTCCCATGAAATGACTGTCTCCCTAGACCACAGCATGAAGTTTCATGAGGGCCTTGTGCACAATCTGAGCATGACAGAGCTTTGTGTCTCACCACGGTGGCCATCCAGGGACCAGCAGTTGTTTGTCACCCTGCCCCAGTCTCCACAGCTGGAGGGAGCCAAGCCCAGGAAGACTTTCCTAACCCTCTCTGCTGGGGAATGGGGCAGCCTGGGCAAGCCCACAGACAGCTCTACAGGTTAGTGACTACACAGAGACCACAGGAAGCTCAGGAAGTCCCTTGAGGTGAAACCAGGTGGGGACTGGAAAGCATTTGTGGGAAGTATCTGGAACACTCCCCTATTCTTATGTTGCTGCCGTGTCATCTAATTACAGACATGGTTGGAGGCAGCAACCTGGAGCAGCACAGACACTCTTTCAGTCTGAGCAGGCGGTGGCTTGCACCTGGGACATGCTGTCCCCTCTGTTCCCCCCAGTGAGGTCCCTGAAGCCCCCAGCTGGGCAGCAAGGGCCCTGCTTGCACCGAGCTGGGACAGCGGAGAGGACACGGAGCTGGGGCTGTGCCCAGCACTGACTCAGCAGGAAAACCCAGCTTGAGTCACCTTCCCGGAGAAGGAGGGAAGCCACCGGTCATCATCACAGCCTGCCACATACCACAGGCATTGCCAGGTGCAGGAAGCACCTGGGTGCTCAGGAGCTCCAGCTGCAGAGCTGCTGCTGGGGCATCTCCGTGCAGCACAGCAAGGGAACCTTGGGCACGTGGGGAAGGGGGAAGGAAAAGGGGGACTGAGGAGAGCCCGTGGTGCTCGTTCCAGCAGGGAAATATCTGGCAAAGCTCATTTGGGTACCTGCCCACTGAGAAGACGGTGGTCTCTCCGGGATGCATCCTGCTTTTGCCCTCCTTGGAGCGCCCCTGGCGCTGCAGCGGGTGCCTCTTCCTCCTGCTGCAGTGGATGCAGGGGGCCTGCGTGGAGCCCAGGTGCACCGTGTGGTGATGTGGTGGGCCCCCGTCCTGGCTGCTACTGTGGGGACAAAGGCTGAAACACAAGAGGACAGGCTGTGTCACCTCGGGGAGACGTCCCCACCCTGGTGCAGCCCCACTGCAGCAAGCCCTGGGAGCAGCAGCTCTGGGGGGGATCTCTGCTGGGGACAGGAATGAGGAAGAGCTGTTCCACTTGACAAGGGGTGAAGCACTCCTCAAAACCCTCAGGAAAGGGGTGGGAAGATGCTTTGTGGCAGCTGGAAAGAGGTTGCTTGTCCCTCACTGTGGAGCAGCCACAAGCTGCTATGAGCTTCCCTCACCTGGGCACTGGCACTGGCATCTCTTCATTTTCCCCCAACATCTCCTTGAGGGCCTCCACATTTGCTGAAGAGAGAGGGAAAAACAGGAATGCATCAGCCAAAGTGGTCAGCGTGGCTCTGGGCTGACCCATGGAAGTGCTCACCTTCATTTTGGATGATGATCTTCACTATCTTCTCCACGGTGTCGTCGTTCTTCTCGGCCTCATCTGAAAAGAGACAACGTGGCACTGAGGGCTGGGATGCCAGGGCTCCACTCACTCATCCCTTCCCAGGAGCAGCTGCATCAGCAGAGTTGTTGGAGAAGCCTCAAGTCCCCTGTCACACTGGGAAGCCACTGGGGAACACCAGAGCCCTCATCCTGGAAAAGAATTGGCTGAGCCAGCAGCTGCGTGTGCAGGGAGAGGGGGTTGTGTTGCTCCTTCAGAACAGAGGAGCACCTGGAGAATTGAGATGGAAGCAGGTTCCAAAAAGTCGAAAGAGGAGGGTCCTTGCCCAGCCCTGGAGCCCCTGGCTGCAGGATGCTGCAAGTGCTCAAGGCTCCAAGGGTAAACAGGACACGTCCACGGAAAACAAACCCACTTAAACACAGAAATGGGGAACACACAGTGACAGGGAGAGCCCCAGAGCTGCACATTATTAAAAGTTTTAAAGACTGTTCTGAGGAATCTTGGCTGGTGCCTGCTTTGTTGTGGAGCTCACCCACAGCTTCCAACTCAACCTGCTTCCAGGCACTGTTGGAGGCAGGAAGGAAGGATGGATGGATGGATGGATGGATGGATGGATGGATGGATGGATGGATGATGGATGGATGGATGGATGGATGGATGGATGGATGGATGGATGGATGATGGATGATGGATGGATGGATGATGGATGGATGGATGATGGATGGATGGATGGATGGATGGATGGATGGATGGATGGATGGATGGATGATGGATGGATGGATGGATGGATGGAGGGATGGATGGATGATGGATGGATGGATGGATGGATGGATGGATGGATGGATGGATGGATGGATGGACCTCCAGCCTGGTCAGCAATGTGAGATGTTCCTGTAAGCAGGTTGGAGCTATGGTCTGGCAGGCAGCTGCCTCAAAGGCTCCAGGGCTGGTAGCATGATCTTGGAAGCCCATGGAGATGTTTCCCTGGGCTGTGGTGTCTCCAGATGGCAAAGTCCATCCTGGAAGGTTCAGAGACTGTCTCCATGTCACATACAGCCAGGACACGCAGAGCACATCATGGACACCTGGAAGCTCTGGCTGCAGCTGTGGATGTGCCTGAGGAGCCGTGTTTCCCTCCTGAGCACCGGCAGCAGCAGCAGGAGGTGCTGATCCTCCCCAGCACTGCCGACAGCACGCGGGAGCTGGAGGAGTTCTGTGGCACCATGTGGCTGTTCTCAGCCTGGGAAGCAGCCGGAGGAATGAATGTGTGTTCCCCACTTCAGCAGAGACTCAGGAAAAACCACGGAATGACAGCGCTCGCTTGGGCCAGGCACCCACGCTCGATGCGGCATTCCCAATCCAGCCACCCCAGAGCCACTTGCAGTGGCCTGAAGCCATGGAAAAAATTCCCTACAGGTCCCTTCCCCTTCTAGCAACAGCCCTGCTTCTCTGCATGAGCACAGCAGGGGTAGAAGAAGTCATGACCAATAACAAACACCAGCTGGCTCCCTGCCAGACATCCTAATGCCAGAGGGACAGAGGTGCTTGTGCTCCAGCTGGGAGAGGTTTTCCTTGAGGGAACAGGGGTTATGACTGAGATGCTGGGCATACAGCAAGTCCTGGATGTTCATCAGAATTACTTTTTGGTGATAACACTCTTTTGGGAAGGGCCAGGCACTGGTTCCCACCTCCCTGTCACCTCCAGCCGTTGTCAGCTCATGGGTCAGAGGGATCCCTGGCCCTCACACTCCCGATCCCCAGGGAACACCGCGCTGCTCTCACCTCCCAGCCCCTTTTCCCAACGCAGCCACACATGACAGGTAACCCTCCCAGCCCCATCCCACATCCCAGAAGGGTGTATGAGGAGCACCAGCCCACACCAGGCAAAGGCCGAGCCCCCAGCAAGCCCCCACCGCCCCAGCACTCACCATCCTGGAGCTCCTCCACGCCGTCTTTGTCATCTGGGTCAAGATCGTCCCGGAAGGTCCGGCACCGGTAACCCTTCTTCTTCAGGACATGGCAGATCAGGAACCCCACCAGCCCCATGATGAAGAAGACAAGGACAAGGAGGAAGACCACAGTAATGCCGTGCTGGGGGTCTGACTCCCCATCGCTGGGGTGGTGATGGTCTGACATGCGGATCTAGGAGCAGAGGGAAGGCAGGTCAGAGCCGCGGCGCTCACCCCCACCCTGTGCCCATCCTGCCCTTCCTCCCGGGGGCAAGGGGCATCTCCCAGCCGGGGCGGCTGCCCGGGGCTCAGCCCTGGCCCCGCACGGAGGGCAGGAGCGGCTGGAGGTGGCTCCCCGCGGTCTCCCAAGGACACCGCTGCCCCGCACGGCCCCGGTGAGAGGCATCCCAAGGGCAGCGGCGGCGGCAGCGTCCCCGCAGGCCCGCCGGCCCCGGGCTGCGGCGCTGCCCCGTCCCTTGCAGGCGGCTTCCCAAGGGCACCGGTGCCCCGGCCTGCCCGGGGCTCTGCGGCGGGCGGCATCCCCGGCTCGCCCTTGCCGGAGGATGGCTGAGCATCCTCTCGCGGCGCGCCGCTCCCCCGCAGCCCTCGGTACTCACGGCCCTCGCACCGGTACCGGCACCGGCAGGGAGCCGCGGCAGCCGGGCTGGCGGAGGGCCGAGCCGCCGGCTGTTCCCGCATCGTCCTCCCGCAGCACCGAGCCGGCTCCCTCCGCCGCGGCTCCCCCGGGCGCTCCCGGCTCCCTTCCCGAGGGCTCGGCTCCCGCATTCCCACTCGCCGGCTCCGCTTCCCGGCACGGAGAAAGTCCCCCCCGCCTGTCCCCCGGCCCCGCTGCGGCGGTACCTGGGCCTGCGGTGCTCCGCAGCGCTCTCCTCACCTTCACCTTCACCTTCACCTGCCGCCTAGCAACCCCGCATCCCCGCGGCTGGGGACCGCGGCGAGCATCCTCCGGCCCCGGGCCCCGCTCCCTGCCTGCCTTCCCCGGGAAGGAGCCAGCCGCTTCTGCCCGCCGCTCTCTGCCACAAGAGCACCCGCCTGTCCCGATCGCAGAAAAAAATCTCCCCGGAGCTGTTTCGGCGGAGGAAGCTGCGGAGAGGAGCTCGGCGGTGCCGGAGGCTGCAGCAGGACACGCAGGAGCGCTGCTCAGGGAAGCTGCCGCCCGCCCCGGGGTGAATAACCTCACCCGCACGCGTGCCAGCCCCGAGCTCCCCTGGCACCTTCCTTTCCTTCAATTTTAGGGCACTGAGCCCTGGCGATGGGAGGGAGAAGGGTGGAAGTGGGGCTCAGTGAGAGCAGGGCTGATCACACAGCAGGGTGTAGGGGGAGAGGGGTGCAGACCCCCACATGGGGATCCCAGCACCGAGGAGAGGGTGGGAAAAGAGCCCTGGGAGACTCCCGTGTCTCCCTCCTTCCTAAATAAGAGCCATTTGAAATCTCATGCTGTGGTGATCCCATGACCTCCTTCTCCATCTCCACCACATTACCCTCGCTCTGGGAGGCTTCGCCCACCACTCCTTTGCTACTGGAAATTAGACCTGCTCCTCTCCATCCGTCAGCCACCTGCCAGTTCTCCCCCAAACCCTGAGGAATGCAACCCTTGAAACCCCTCCCAGCCCATCTCCGTTAAATCTAGCTCAGATCCATGCACACATTCCTCCGTGGGAATTATCCCATGGGAATTATCCCACCACAGTCTGCCTTGCTGTGACACAGCCAGTGACTCCTCCAGGCTCTCAGCCCTGCCTCGCTGAGGGCTCCTGTCCCTCTGCACAGGTGACCAAGTTGTCTCTCAGGAGCCTCCTCCATCAGCGTGACTTCGGGAGGTCACCACACCACAGGTGACACCCATCTGCCCGCTGTCCTGACAGGGAGACAGGAATGGAACCTCTGTGCAAGAACAAGACTTCTCCTCCTGCCACGGGTCGCTGAACCACGGGAGAGGAGAGCTCTCAAACCCTGGACCAACAAGCTGCTGCATCATGCAAGTCTCTGCTGAGGAAGAGCTCACAAAGTAAAGCTCAAAGGCAGTTTGCTCCTTGCCCTTGTTTCTGTGCAGAGGGGGAACTGGCAGGTCTGGGTTCCTGCAGGGCCCTGAGGGGACGCAGTCATGGCGAGCGCATTCCCGTTCTCCTCATGCCCACGCACGCTGTCCTGCACAATAAATCGCTTTTTCTCCTCCTGGGCATTCCCGCCCACCCAGAGCATTGCTGCACCCTACCCCCTTCCAGCTCCCCACCCCCTTCCAGCTCCCCACCCCCTTCCAGCTCCCCACCCCCTTCCAGCTCCTCACCCCGTTCCAGCTCCCTACCCCCTTTCCCGACTCCAGCCATGCCAGGCTGATCAGGACTCCCCATCCAAGGGGACATTCCCATTTTCCCAAAGCCTCTGGTGTCAAGTCATTTCCACAAGCTGGGGGACACAGCGTGGCACAGCAGCCTGGCCCTGCCTGAGGACAAATTCTGGCCTTTGTGGGGTGAGCCAGGATGAGGAGGGGGTTCTGTGGCTGTCAAGCTGCTCCCTCCTGGCTCTGCAGCTGGATCACCCCAGCTGAGTGTTTCTCTTCCTAATTCTCCCGACCAGGGATCACCTGCTCCCAGTCTCTGTGCTGCTTCCACCACCTCAGCTTCAGTGTCCCTCGAGGGGCTCAGTCCTTGTCCCGCTGCAAGACCCCATTAGCATTTTAATGGTCCCACACAGCACCTCACAGGTGACCCAGAAACACCATCCTGGCACGTCTCTGCCCCAAAAGCGTCCAGCATTTGGGGCATGAATCCACACAAAGGAGCTCCCCTTCTGAGCAGGCAGTTCCTCCTGGCTGTGTGGGGACAGAACCCACATGGGGCAAAGCCCCACACCAAGGCAGGGAGTGCAGCTGTGGCTGTGGGCTGCCTGCTCGTGGAACATCCGCAGTCTTGGCTCTGCATCCTCTGTCCCTCCTGACCCCATCCCAGCTCCTCTCCTGTCCTGTGTGACCCCACCAGCCGAGACAGTGGGTCTGAGACACAGGACAATCTGCCTGGAGCTCTGGGATAGGCAGCTGCCTTCTTTCTGCCTGCCCACCTTATCCAGCAGCACCAGCTGGAGGAGGAGGAGGAGGAGGTTACACGGTCCGGAGCGTGGCACGGTGCTGGTGAGTCCCCTCTGCCTGCCCAGGGGCACTGCTTGGGCACTTCTGTGGGAGTTGTCCCTGCATTTCCCATGTCCTGAGCTCCTCTTTTCCCATGTTTTCAGGACTTATGAAACATCCTTGCTCGTGGATGAACCAATTAGTGACGAGCTCCCATACAGTGGTAAGTCGGAGTTGCCTTTTTTCCTCATGAGCTCACCTGAAATTCTTGGCATGTTTTATTCTGCATTGACCAGGGCCAACGTGTCAGCACTTCCTGACCTTGGAGATGGCCTCAGCCATGCCTGGAAGTGTCCAAGGCCAGGTTGGATGGGGTTTGGTCTAGTGGAAGGTGTCCCTGCCCATGGCAGGGGGTTAGAATGAGATGAGATTTAAGGTCCTTTCCAATCCAAACCATCCCCTGCCCTTCCTTCCCAGGTCCCCCCTTGGGGCTTCCCTGAATCCTGGAAGTCCTTGGAGGCATCACTCCCTCTCCAGGCATTGCCTGGAAACACTGAAATTTTAAGCTTTGGAAGCTTGGGAGGGAGGGGACAGAGTGGCTGAGGAGAGGCTGGTGGGACAGTGCTGTCACCTGTCACCCTGTCCCTCAGCTGGCCCCAGCCCCAGTGAAATTCCATGTTACCTCTTGTCCGCTCTTTTCCCGCACCTCTTCCGCGGCCATTGGAGCAAATGTCACCCCACAAACAATGTGACCACGTCCTTTTGGGGGATCAGCCGCCCTGGCCTCGCTGCTTGTCCATGTGGCAGCTAAACCAGCTGGAGTGCCCAGATCCAGGCTCATCTTGGGATCTTTGCTTCAGTGCTCAGCCCAAAAATCGTCCTGACGTCTGCAAAGCTGCTCCATCCCCTCGTGTCAAACGTGTTCCTGAATCCTCAGCCCTGCTCCAGCTTTCCAAACATGCCCAGCAGCTAATGGCCGTTAAACCACAGCCTGCTTTTGCTCTCTGAGCACAAAGAGCATCTAAAAATATCCCTCTGAACGCTTCCCTTGCGCTGCTCCAACACCCGTGAAGATGCCTGGAGCAGCACCCGGCTTCCAGAAGGAGAGCTCAGGGAGCAGGGTGATCCCAGCTGGAAACAGGGACGTGTGTCTTCTCCCCTCGAGCAGGAACGTGTGTCTTCTCCCCTCCAGCAGGGACGTGTCTCTGCTCTCTCACCCCGTCCCCAGGCGGGCACTGGGCCGTGCTCCCGGGTGGCTCCATGTCCCCAGCCGGGCGTTATCTGGTGGCAGCAGCTGGTGGAGCAGGGACAGGACAGTCGTCATGGGGAGCACCGTCAGAGCTCTGGGAGCTCCCAGCTCAGCCGTGTTGCTCAGCACGTTGAAATCCCGCTGATTTCCTGCAGCAATGTGGCTGAACTGAGGCCTCAGCGTGCACCGGCCATCCAGCTTGTAACTGTTCTCACCAGAGTTTTCTCAGAACCCGCCAGAATCCATCAAGGTTACTAAGACATAAACTGTGCTAAATAAGAAAGAAGAAGCTGAGAAACAGAATTCCAAGACTGCAAGACCTAAATAACAGCAGCAAAGCACCTGGACTGTGACCAGTCCCAGATTCTGAGAGGTGCACGCAGAACACGTGGAAAGACAAAAGCACCGATAAGAAATGTGTGACCAGCGTGTGCAGTGGAGTTAGAATCTATAAATTAATGCATAATAGAAACAATAAACAGCTTCTGCTTAATCACAGTGGTCAGTTGTCCAGGAGTGCTGAATTTCCCACACTGGGTGCTGGGCTCGGTGCCAGGTGCCCTCTCTGAGTGTCCCAAACCACAGCTGTGCCCTGCAGGGTCACAGCGAGGGGTCCTGGGTCTCCTCTGGAAGTGTCCCTGCCCCTGGCAGGGGATTGGAATGAAATGATCCTTAAGGTCCCTTCCAATCCTATCCCCTAAACCATCCTGTGATCCCTGCTCCACGCTGGGGCTGGGATCCTGAAAGGAAACCACCCAAGGAGCAGTGTGGAGGGAGCAGCGTCCCTGCAGGGGAAGCAGAGGCAGCCAGAGATATCCTTCAGTAACCCCACCACTCCATCACACCCTGACAACACACAGAACTCCCGGCCATCCTGCCATGCCCCATGCCATACAAGCAGGAAGCTCCTCTTGCTGCTCCCAAGGGGTTGCCATTCCCTGGAAACCCCAGCCTGGCATCCTCTGAGATGCCAGGGAACGCCCCAGTGCCCATCCTCAGGCAGCTCTGGGGGTCCTGCCCCTCTCTGAGGCCCTGGGTTGAGGAGCCTGTCTCCAGCACAGCTTCCCTCATCCCAGACTGCAGGAAGCCTCAGGCAGGAGACTGGCAGGACCAAGGTTTTCCAAGCCTTTGGACAAGGCATCCTGCTCTGTCTGTCCTTCCTCCTCTCCAGCCCCCAGGGAGCAGGTTTGTGCTGCCATTCCCAGCCAGCCCTGCTCCTGTTTCCATCCCTTGGCAGCTCCAGCTGTCCCCCACTCCGCTGCCTCCTGACACCCGGAGATTTCCCAGCCAGCTTTTGTCCTCCTCCCGCCTGGAGCTGCCTCCAAAGGGTTCTTGCCAAAGGTCTGGAGAGCCTGCACCCTCCCAGGGTGGCACCTGGTGACAGCTGGGGGGGGCAGGTCCCCATCCTTCAGGGGTTGGAATGGAACCAGTCCAATCAGGGCTGGGGTGTCCCATGGAAACCCCCCTGCCCATCCCCTGTGCCTCGGGGGTGGGCGCTGGGGTGACAGGGGGGCTGGGAGTGACTGGGAGTGACTGGGGGACAGCTGTGGGCCTGGAGAAGAGAATCCAGTGGGCAACTGGGATCTGCTGGGGGGTAACTGTGAGCACCTGGCAGTACTGGGGGCAGCTGGGAGTAACTGGGATCTGCTGGGAGGGGTAACTGGGAGCACTGGCAGTAACTTGGGGCAGCTGGGGGTGACTGGGAGCACTGACAATAACTGGGATCTGCTGGGGGTGTAACTGGGGGCAGCTGGCAGTAACTGGGATCTCCTGGGGGTGTAACTGGGAGCACTGGCAGTAACTGGGATCTGCTGGGAGGGGTAACTGGGAGCACTGGCAGTAACTGGGATCTGCTGGGAGGGGTAACTGGGAGCACTGGCAGTAACTGGGATCTGCTGGGAGGGGTAACTGGGAGCACTGACAGTACTGGGGGCAGCTGGGGGTGACTGGGGACAGCTGGCAGTAACTGGGATCTGCTGGGGGTGTAACTGGGGGCAGCTGGCAGTAACTGGGATCTCCTGGGGGTGTAACTGGGAGCACTGGCAGTAACTGGGATCTGCTGGGGGAGGTATCTGGGAGCACTGGCAGTAACTGGGGGCAGCTGGCAGTAGGAGAGGGGCAGTGAGGGATAACTGTGGGAGCTGAGGATGACCGGGGAGATGACACGGGGTTATGGGAGGGAGCCCAGCCGGTCAGTGGGACAAGCGGGCGCGGGGCAGGCAGGTGAGCCTGCGGGGTGTCCTGCGGGCAGCTGGGCTGACGGGGGCGGTGTGCGGGCAGCAGGACCAGCCCGGGGCGCTGGTGGGAACTGGGACCAGTCGGGAGCAGCGGGGGCGGCACTGGGGCCGCGTGGCCACGCCCCCTTGTAAAGCCACGCCCGTTGTGGGCGGGTCTTTGTTGTGGCCCCGCCCACCCCGCCCGGGCGGGTGTCGCGGTGAGATGACGTGAGCAGGAGCGCGGCGCGCGGCGCGGCCTGTCCGCCATGGCGAAGACCGTGGCCTATTTCTACGACCCGGACGTGGGGAACTTCCACTACGGTGCGAGCGGGGCCGGGGCAGCGCTGGGGCAGCAGCGGGGCAGAGCGGAGGAGCGGCCGCCGCGCGGCTGGGGCTGGGCCGGGACCGGCTGGAGGCGGGGTGTGGTGTGGCCTGGTCCCCGCTATCCCCCTATCCCCTCAGCCCCGCTGTCCCCTCAGCCCCGCTGTCCCCTCAGCCCCGCTTCCCGCTCCCGCTGTCCCCTCTCCCCGCTGTCCCCCAGCCCGGACCTGTGCGCAGCGCGGTGCCGGTGCCCGGCGGCGGGAGCGGCGGCGGCGGGGCCGTTGTGGCGCCGCTGATCCCGCGCGGTTCCGTTGCAGGCGCGGGGCACCCCATGAAGCCGCACCGCCTGGCGCTCACGCACAGCCTGGTGCTGCACTACGGCCTCTACAAGAAAATGATCGTAAGTGGGCGGGGTGGGCACCGCGGAGGGCTCCAGGGGTGGCACGGGCTCCTTGGGGTCCCACGGGTGGGTGACAGGTTCACTGATGTTGCAGAGGTTTGGATCCCCACGGGTGGGTGATGTGTGATTTATTAAAAAAATATGGATATTGATCTAGCACCGATATCCAACTGTGACGGACAAAATCTCTCTAACAGTTTAAAGTTAGAAAGGGATGTTTAGTGCGATGCTGGGCAGCATGTGGGATAGCTCCCAAATCCACACTGCCCCTTCCAGGTGATTACAGAGTCTTTTTATCCATACAAGTATTGAATACCCAAAATACAAATACATATTCATCATTTTGGTACATCCCATTCCTCACTTCGTACGCTAATCACTCCAAAAGCCATTCAGCAGGCGTAGTTTGCTCCTTAAAATGGGTCGGTGACTCTTTCACAGGGAGGGGTCCCAAAATGAGGAAGTAAATGAAGTCTTCCTCGTTATGGCCTTTCTGCCTTTTCAATGCAAATATGACAAATGAACTCTTGGTAGAACTCCATTCCTTGTCTTCAGTTGGTTTCAGAACAGAGGAGGCCCACAATTGTCTTATGTTCCTAAAAGCTATTTGTCAGTTTGTGTATTCTTCATTATAAACCCAGCTAACCAAACATTGTGCTGCCAAGCAATCAGTTATTAGTTAACTACTAACTCCTAACTTCATCAAGGCCTCCTCATTTATTTTATTTATTTTAATTAACTCTAGTAAGGCTTATCTCTAACTCAATCTTAGCTCCTCTTAAATCTCTAAATTCCTTAAAATTTACGTTTCATGTGTTCAGGGATGTTGCAGAGCTTTGGGCCCCACGGGTGAGTGACAGCCTCACTGATGGTTGTAGAGCTCAGTCCTGCACCGTTGGTGCAGCTGTAGAGGATTCCAAGGAGCTGCTGAGGTCAGGCAACTGCAGAGATGCAATTTATGAAAAGAATTTTAGGTGTTCAGACATGACAAAAATTTCCTTAATTAATAAAATTCCCAAATAAAACCACATCCAGGGCAGTGACTGTGTGGAAATGCAGCACTTGGAAAGACTGTGGGGAGTCTTTGCAGAGTTTCTTTTCTAGATCTTTACTGTCACGGTGTGGATTTCCACAAGTAACTCCCCCAGAGGTTTTTGGGTTCTTTTATGTCCACAAGCAACTTCCCTAGAGTTTAGGTTTGTTTTTTATTTCCACAAGTAACTTCCCCAGAGTTTTTTTAATCATTATTGTTTCCACAAGAAACTTCCCCAGGCTTTTCCTTGCAGGAACAACCAAAAAGCATGTTCTGACCTAACACTTTTAAATGGCAAATCCCTGCCTGAAGGAGGCAGTGGGCAGAGTTTTACATTTTCAGTCTTTAAATTCTTTTTTTGAGGGGTTTTGTTTTCCACAGGCTGCACTGGGAAGCTGAAAACTTCATCCCCGAACAGTCAGGGACTGGCAAAGTCAGGAGCAAATAAAGGCAGGGGTTTGGAGCATTGGTGCTGGGAAATTCCTGCTGATTTTGTGCTGTGGTTGCATTGTTTCTGCCTCCTTACAATCAAAGCTTGTGATCCTGTTGGGCTTTGCCTCTTCCCACCTTCCCCAGCTCAGGAACGTGGCTGGGATTGCTGGGAAGGCTGCAAGGAGCCAGGTTTGTTCTGCCAGCAGCTGAGTGAACATTCCAGCCTGGATTTCCCCTCCCTTTCTGTTTGATCCCCACTCTGAGAGCCTCTGGCTGTCCAGTGAGAGCCATTTCTCCTCTCCTTGCCATCAGTTTTGGTCTGGTTTGGTTTAATGAACTTCAGGATTCCTGGAGGATCCCTGGGAATAATGAGTTGCCTCATCCCCTGTTTGAGTTGTCAGAGGCAGCAAACCTCTGAGAAACACCAAATTCCACATGGAAAACACCAGGAGAGGAGGAGATGGGCTTGTTCTGGTTTATTGTGGCTCTGGAAAGGAGCAGGTTTCCTGCTCAGCACAGAAAGCAGGACCTTGGTGCAGTTGTCCTGAGGAATTTCCCCTTGGAGACCAGCTCGTGCATCTTCTGTTGTGTTCATGTTCCACTTTTTCTGTCAAGTGCTTGCTTAAAATAAGAGAAATTAAAATAATAAGAGGAATCACAGAAAATATCTCTTATCAATTGAATTGATAAGAGATGGTGGTGTTAATTTTTAACTCCCAGTGATGTTAATTTTTAACTTCCCCTCTACTGAGGGATGTGCCGTAAGTGCCAGACCTGTGTTGTCCCAAGATCCTGGATTTGAGTCCATCCACCTCCCTGACCATTCCCCCCATTTTCCTTTCCAAAGGAAACAAAACTTATGCAGCTCTCCCATCTGTCTGGGAGGTTACCCCAAATAATTTGAAGCCTGTCAGTAAATCTTAGAGGGATCAGAATCACCCCAAATCAAGGTCTTAAACTGGTGAGTGAGGTAGGAAGGATCCCCCCAGGGAAGGAAAAGCTATGGTTTATTTTGCTGCCCCAGCAGGGGAATGTGCCATGGGGTAGGAAGAAATTTTATGGCAAGAGCTGCAGTCAGGAGAGGCAGGATTTGGAT